TGATTTCTCGCCTAACATTTTTAAATTATTAGTGGCGGTTGGGGAATGGGTATAGATCGTCTTACTATGTTTTTGACTGATAGCTCAAATATTAAGGAGGTTCGTTTTTTCTTTCCTTTTCTTTTCTTTTTCATGTCTATCTTATTCAGAAATAAAGGATTTTCTAACTTTTCACATTTTCCTATCCCCAGGTTCTTCTCTTCCCCGCTATGAAACCGATAGATGAAAAGCCCAAGGCTCCTGAGACCATAACGAGTTAACGTTTTCTACAATACTATTTTTTTTTAATGCTGATCTTGGAATCTGAAACGAGAAAAAACTTTTTCCTAGTCAGTTTTAATTAATAAATTGTCATAATGACCATAATATTATAATTATGTGAATAAACTTTAATTTATAATTACTAAGTCCTTTCATATGATATAACGTTAAAGCGTTGATATTATCAAATAGCAATTATTTAAAGAGATTTTTCATTATAGATTTTATTATAAATTTTCAATTAATTAAAAACAAAGGTTTTTATACATAATAATATATTTCTATTATCTAAATGCTTTTTGATATTTAATATCCAAATACTTTGTTATTTTTTTAATTTATAATATATTTAAAAATTATTTACGAATAAATACACATAGATGATAAGTTTTTTTATAGAGAAAATAATAATATGCTAACATTGGCAATATACTATATATATTGTTTAAGAATTGTTATAACTTATCTGTTAAAAAAATCAATTCAATTCAAAATTGATTTGATAATTAATTAATTAAAAATTAAAATAGAATATAGTTACTTAATGCATGTTTAATATTCAATAGTTAATTAAATACAATATACGGTATATCTCCTAGGTGCAAAGTATATAATAATTTAAATACAAATTAAAATTATCTCAAAATAATGAATACTTTAATATATAAAGGTATTTATAAATATTTTATACGGTTTTATTTCAAATTATAATATAAATTTAATATATCATCAGGAAATTTTTTTGGCGAAGATCTTCGCAAATCTTCGGGCGTAGACCTCCGGAGAACCTCCGTCGTCGT